AGATGAAGATAAAGGGTCCCTGGGGCTCAAAGAGTTTGATAAAGGAAGTGTTTGAGGAAGAAATGACATTTGAATTCTGTGGTAGAGCATAGTAAGTTTAGTTTAATGATTCATTAAAACATGGTTATTGGAGCCAGAAAGACCTAGGTTTGAATTCCAGCTCTGCCATTCATAGCTGTATGTGTCCTTGGGAAAGTTACTTAACCTTCTTGATCCTCATTTTATTTCCCAACAAAATTGGGTAGCAGTTATCTCACTCACAACTTATTGTGAGAATTAAATGAGATGATGCCTATGAAAAACACTTGACACAGTATCTGGCAAAATAGTAATAATAATGTTAACAATAGCCACCTTTGTTGAGTGCTTACTGAGTACCACCACCCACCTAGGACATCCTGAGGATTCAGTGTTATTATATTATTACATTACTTAATTGTTATATTTAATCCTCACAAAAGCCCTAAGAGTTTGGTGAGTGCCCAATAAGTTATAAGTGTTATTTAAAGCTTAACTATGGAGGTTGGTTAGAATTTAGATAGGGAAGGTGAAGAAGGGGGGAAAGTAAAGGAGAGAAAAGCAGGAGGAGGAAGTTATTAAGGACAGACATGAGCAATGAGATGCCTGGCTGGGCTGGGCTGGGGTGTGGGGACTGAGGAGACCAGGAGAAGATGGGGAGGGAATCAGGTAATGGAGAGTCTTGAATGCTTGGGTACAAAGATTGCACCTGATTTGGCAGGCAGGGAGGAGCCATTCTAAGGTTTTAAATAGGATCATAGCATGATTGAAAGTAACTTATTTACAAATTTGTATTTTACCTTCATTTACGTTGTAGAATTAATACAGTTAACTAAAACTTCAAGAGACATAGGAGCATGCAAAAGAGAAATAAAACCTCCCCAATTTGCTGGTTGGAGTGCAAACTGGTATAATTACTTCAGAAAATCATTTGGCAATGCTTGCTAAAGCAGAACAAATACATGCCCTGTGGCCCAGCAATTCCACTCCTAGGTATACTTCTGAGAGACATGGGTACAAATGTTCACCAGGCCGTGCACTAAAGTAATTATAGCAGCATTATTCTTAATAGCGCTAAACTGGGAAAAAAATCAAATGCTCATAAACAGTACAATGGATAAACAGATGTGGCATATTTACAGTGGAATACTACATAGACATGGTGATAAGCCAGCTACAACTGTATGTAACAATGTGGGCGGATCTCACACAATTAGCATAATATTGAGCAGAAGAAACCAGCGCACCCCCTCCCCCCGCTCCAAAGCCATGCTCTGTATATAAAGTTCAAAACCAAGCAAAACCAATATTTGGTGTTAGAGATCAGGGGCGTGACTACCTTTGTGGAGCAAGACAGAGCCCGGAAGACTGGGCTGAAGTGGGCTTTGGGGAGCCTAGTGATGCTCTGATTCTTCATCTGGGTGCTGATGACATGGGTGCATTTAGTTTGTGAAAATCAAGATGTACACTTAAGGTTTGTGTACTTTTCTATATACATGTTATACTTAGATTAAAAAGTTACCAAAAATGATCTTCCCCACACCTCCTCTAACAACCTTTCTCCCTACAGTTATTCCTTATTAACAGTTTGGTTTATATCTTCCTAGATTTTTCTGTGCCTACACATAAACATAAAGGTACATATGTATAATATATATTATATATATAAGCTACTTATAGCTTTACAAAAATGGTATTACGTTATACATACTATCCAGTAACATACCTTTTTAACTTCACAGTGTGTTGAGGCAACCTTTCTGTGTCATTGTATACGTAGATCTAGATGGTTCTTTTTTAATAGTTGCACAGTATTTTACTATGAGATGTGTCATTTTGTAAACCAGTCTCCTGTTGATGGACAATTGGTTCCAGCATTTTATTTGTGTAAATGATATTGTGAGGAATCTCTTCATGCCTATCTTTGTATACTTTTGTGATTAAATGTGTAGAATGAATTAGTATAGGTGGAATATCTTGGTCTGAAGTGTTAATTTAAGATAGTTAATCTGTTAATGACTTGTTGTATGAATGGGTTGGAAACGGGGAGATCAGTTAGGAGACTGTTACAATTGAGGTGATGAGGGTGGTTTGCTGTGAAAATGGACAAGAAAGGAGAGCTATAAGAGATACTAAGGGCCAGGACTTTATAGAATTTAGCATCTGATGTGGCAGGGGAAAAAGTTAGAGAAGTCCTTGGGGATTTGTGTCTGGGTGGCTTGAATGGTTGGGAACATAAATCAGAAGGAGTTGTTTGGGAGAAGTGGGATCAGAAATGGGTTTAGTTTTTGCTGGTTTGCATTCAAGGAGCCTGCTCATCCAGGTAGAAATGTTCAGAATGTCGTCAGAAGTATTGCTTTTGACAACACGAAGGGCTACAGATTGAGGCGTGGGATCCACTTATGGTGGTCTTCATGGTGTAGGAACAGAGCGAAGTCACCAAGGGAGAGTATCTAGATAGAGAAAGAGAAAGAATCCAAGGACTGACTGACTGGTGAGGGCCTAACATACAGGGATGGGGTTAATGATCAGGGAGAGAGAGGAGAAGATCTGCTAGAATTCACCATCACAGAGGCCAAAGAAGGAGGGATCTGAAGTAACTGCTGTCATTCAAAGGATGAAGTAATCAGTAGCCTATGTTAGTCCCCCTCCCTCTGGCCCCCCGAAGGGTGCTTTCATCTTGTACTTGATCTTCAAAGCGCTTAACACGCTTGTGATTAATCCATGTGATCATCTGTTTGATGTCTGCCTCCCCCTCTGAATTGTGACTCCATGGAGGCAGGGACCACACCACTCTCTCTCTTATATCCCCAGCTCTGGGTGTGGTGTTTGGCACACAGTGGTCTTGGTATCCCAGGTTGTTGCTGCCTCCTGCAGGACCCCAGCCATCCATACACCATCCCTCTCCCCTGACCCCTAATAACCTTTCTCCCTACAGTTACTCTGCACAAGTTGGGAGAAGAGAGACTTAGGACCCTGTGAGAGATAATTCAAGCTGTACCATTTATGTTTTAGGTGCAGCAATTGTGAGTGGATAGCCAAAAATGGTTCATTCAAACTCCATTTATTTGTATGTCACAGTGGCCAGCCATAATTGGTCCCCAAAGTTTATAGGACTCCAACTCCAGGCTCTCCAGTGCAGCATTATGGTGACCATGGATGATGAAGCCACTTTTATCAGTGGAGACTAGACTTAGAAGTGGGTTTAACATCTTCATGAGGGCTTCCTACTGAAGGAAGGCACTCAGTAGGTGTTTCGTAAGTGAATGAAGGAAGTGCCATACTTCAGGGGTCGGGGGCTGAGATAGGGCCCTTGTGTGTGGTTGCGAGCAGTCACTGGAGACTGGCTTAGTAAGCCATGCGAACGGGGTGGTGGAGTGGAAGCCAGACTGTAAGAGCTGAGAGTGTGTGGTTGGCGATATGGTGGCAGAGACTGTTCTCTGAAGTGTGTTAGTTGAAGGGGGCGGTGGAAAAAGCAAAGCCTCGAGCAGACTTGCAGAGAAGAGACGATGGAAAGGTGGCAGATTCAAGGTCCAGAGAGGATGAATGCCGGGAAGAGTTCCCGGTGAGGATGGGGGAGGCAGAATGGGGAGAACAGATGGCAAGTCGGCCTTGGCAAGGAGAAGGGTCACCCCTTCCTCTCAGAGGAGAGGAGGGGGGGTGGTCACAGGGCAGTTGGAATGTTTGAGGATGATGAAATTTGGAAGTGAGGAAGAGCAAGTCAAAGAAACACATCTTTTCAGCCAAGTAAGACAAAAGTCATCTTGGGATGGATGGACCTATGGGGTGGGGTGTGGGAAAGCATTGGGACAGTCACTTTGGGGACTGTGACTTTGTGAGCAAGAGATGGCCAATGGAAGGGTTAGATGGCTGAGGTTAGACGGTGGACCTTGTTGGTGTGTTTGGGTACAACCTTAGTCCCCACATTGGGGACTGATGAGGTCAGGAAGGTGGTGTGTCAGAGGGAACATGAAAGACAGTTGATGGGGGCAAATTTGGGGAGCGCTGGGAGGTCTTTCTCTATAGTGTCTGTAGCTACTTTTGTTTGGCACCTACTATGTGCCAGGCACTGTGGTAAGTGTTCTGTCATTTAACCCTCAACAGCTCCACGGAGTAGGTGCTACCCAATTTGCCCAAGGTCAGCTTGCCTGGGACTCCACCTGGGCTGTCTGATTGCAAAGCCAGGTTCACTCGTGTGGTGATCGACAGCTGTTCTAGGGTCCCAGATAAAGAGTACTAGATTGTGGAATACTCTGGGGGCATTTGTCCTCATAAAAACCTTGTTCTCCCATTTTACAGTTGGGGAAACAGAGGCACAGAGAGGTTGAGTAATTTGCCCAAAGTCTCATAGTGAGTGAAAAAGATTCAGGATTTGAATCTGAGCAGTCTGGTTTCAGAGCCAATGGTCTCAATCAGCAGTCCTCAAATCATGGGTGACTTTTGCCCCCAGGGGCTGTCTGAGAATGTCTGAAGACATTTTCGATTGCCACATCTGGACCAGAGGGTGCTTTTGGCATTTACTGGGTAGAGGCCAAGGATACTGTCAGACCGTCTATGCACAGGACGCCACTGACCACAAAGCGATCCCCATCCAGTTGCGCTGGGTTTGAGAAGCCCTGGTCCAAATCCATGCAAAGCGCTTGAGGAGAGTGTGATACATAGTAGGTGCTCAATCTATAGCAGCTGAAGAAGAGGAGGAAAAGTGATTTGGAGGCGTTGCAGAGAAGTGAATTCAACGGGGAGAAGCAGTACATGTAAATGAATCCGTCAGTTGAGAGAATGCATGTGAGACTGTGTGTTTGGTGGGTATGAAGGGCAGGCTGCCCCGGGAGGGTGGGTGCAGGTCAGACTGGTGGTAAGAGGAGGGCGGGGGCCAAAGCGAGGCAGCCATTGGTGCCGAATACTAACCAGATGTCTCGCCTCTCTGTCCCCTTCCACCCCATGTCTGTTTCCCCACCTCTCTTGGCCTCTCTGCCCAGAAGGGGACAGCCGGAGGCTGAAGGGGGCCATCCAGAGGAGCACGGAGACGGGCCTGGCGGTGGAGATGCCCAGCCGGACGCTGCGCCAGGCCAGCCACGAGTCCATCGAGGACAGCATGAACAGCTACGGCTCGGAGGGCAAGTGAGTGTGGGGCCCGGCCGGTGGCCATCCTGGCTCTCGGTCTTTTCTGGTGTGGGGCAGGGGCTTCAGGCTGGGAGGGCATTGGCTCAGGGCTCCTGGGCCGTCCCATCTTCAGAAGGGAGGTGATGATGCAGCAAGGAACCTCCAAGGGAGAGTGAGGAGAGCCAGACTTTGGCGACTGACTACTCGGATTTGGATCCTGGCTTCGCTACTCACCGGCTGTGTCCTTGGTCAAGTCGAACCTCCAAGGGAGAGTGAGGAGAGCCAGACTTTGACCACTCGGATTTAGATCCTGGCTCCACTACTCGCCGGCTGTGTCCTTGGTCAAGTCACCTCTCAGTGCCTCAGTTTCCTCATCTGTAAAATGAAGATAATACTCACCTTATAGTGGTGTCAAACCTCCAAGGGAGAGTGAGGAGAGCCAGACTTTGACCACTCGGATTTAGATCCTGGCTCCACTACTCGCCGGCTGTGTCCTTGGTCAAGTCACCTCTCAGTGCCTCAGTTTCCTCATCTGTAAAATGAGGATGATGCTCACCTTATAGTGGTGTCGTTGAAGATTAAACGGGCTAATCTTTATAAAGAGCATCGGCCAGTGCTTGGCTTCCACCTTCCACGCCCTCCCATTTCGGCTCCTGCGGCTGAAAGCTGTCCCACCCCCGGCCCCTCCTAAACCGGGCATCTCCGGCCTCTGTGAATGGCCTTGCTTTGGCAGATGCTTCTGTTCCACCCACCTCCTAGGGAGACTTTCTGGAGGGCGAGGAGAAGAGGAGGACAGGCGGAAGGGAGAGGAGGAGGAGGAAGAAGGGAACAAACGTTTTCTTTAACCTGAGAAACTTGGCAAAGCAGCCAAACTTGGAGGAAGACATTCTGGGCATCTGGGTAGC